ATTTCTTCTCATATTCTTTCTATTTAATCTAACCACGCTTGTGCAATTTTCCACCAAAGCACCTACTGGTGTATTTGCTGTGAAGCACAATTCCAAGAATATTGACTTAGAAGTGCTGAATACCAAAGCATGCCACATTTACAGGTTTTTGTCAATAAAAAGCGTATGCATGTCCCTTTCTTTCAACCTCACAATTATGCATCACAAGGACACCAATGATAACATTATCTCTTGCCCCTGTTCTCCCCACATTGCCCCATCACTCTTTTCTGTTACCTTGTTCATTTGTTAAACTGCTGCATGTGAACAGGGCCTACATCCATCACAAAGTAATGACATTATGTACTTAACTTTTTTTCCTGCAGTGATAAAATGAAAAATGGAGTCTTGGAAAGAGGAAAAAATGCACATACCCAAGCTGTGCATTGTGAAACAATTTCATATGGTCTGTTTGTTCTCCAGGGTCAGGCTACCCGTATGTTCTGGAGGCCCCAGCCCAGGATTTTATCTCTGGTAAACAAACAACAAAATGCAATACCCCCAGGCTGCCTTCATCAACTAAAATCAAACCCTCAATTTCACCTCTCCATTACTGCAGCTGCAGTTCTACTTCGTCGATAATATGTACTAAATGGTCATTATGCGTTTCTGCACTGCTATAATGCTTTCAAACAGTTTCCAGTGCTTTGTGACGTCTTAATCCCCCCCACCATTAATAACAGAAAAAGCTCTGCAGAATCAAACTCCAGTGATTGTCTCAGAGTAATAAAGTTTCAAAACAGCTTTGTGAAACACACAACATTATACACTTACAACTTCTGGCTTCTTATTAATAAACAACCAACAGAAAAATACCCCAGTGTGCTTAACATTGCTATTTTGCTGTGTCAGTAAAGACTAATCAGCCTGGCCTTATTACTGCTCGCCTCCAGCCCTAATGTGTAGTCAGAAACAATATCTTGATATAGATGTGTGTGTTTGTGCATTTGTTTTTATTACCATGGGGGTCCCGAGCATGGGAGCACACCAACATAGAGGGGCCCGGTTGTGTTGTGGGGCCCAAAATGCTGTACCCCACATGGGAAACCACTCTAAAGCAGCGTGGGATGCTCTCCTAACATGCCTCATGCTTTTTTTTTCCCACTTGGCCCACTTGGTAGTAAAAACTAGAAAAGTGGGGACCCCCTGCTTTTTGAAGATGGTACTGCAAGTATATACACTGCAGGAAGTGTGTGTCTTTTACAGGAAGTGTGTGAGGACCCCTCACACACGTTTTGACTAAGATTCCCTGATATATATAAGCTATAACCTGAAGTTTCAGGAAGTGTTTTTTTTTTTTATAATTAATGGTGTAAAACATTATAGCAGCTCATTAATGTCTCTGTGTGTGTGTGTGTGTGTGTGTGTGTGTGTTTGTAATGCCTTGTGGGGACCATTTTCCTGACGCATATGATGTTGTGGGGACCCACTGCTCCTTGTGGGGACCGAAGCCTGGTCCCCACAATGGGAAACGCTGTTTTTGGGTCAGGGGTTAGATTTAAGACTAAGGTGTGAATTGAGTTTTGGTTGGGGTTAGGTATGTAATAGATAGGGTTAGGGTTAGGATAAGGGTAAGTTTTAGGCTATAGAAATGAATGGAAGTCGATGGAAAGTCCCCACAAAGATAGACATGCAAACGTGTGCATGTGATTGTCTGTGTATAAAAAAGGGGAACAGAATACATAGTGCTAGGCTATGCAGTAAACTAAGTGTCAATGGCTTGTTACTGCAGTCTTTGTGAAATTGGTCGTTCTCCATTAATAATATATATTTTTTTACATTTTGTTTCATTATAGCCACAAACCTCAATGTATTTCATTGGAATTTAAGTATAAGATTAACACAAAGTAGCACATTTTTATGAAGAGGAAGCTGTCTAAAACCTCAGACTGTGACTGTGTTTTCAGCCTAACTGAGTAGTACCTTTTGCTAAATCAGCTTTCTAGAGAAAACCAGCAGAATGTTTGCTGAACTATGTCTCAATCAGCTTTGCAGGTCTTGAGGCAAATTTTTGCTCATCCTTCTTTGAAAAAAATAATTATAATAACTGGACCTCAGTCAAATTGAAATCTTCATATTGAATATTTGAAAACTGTGCACATCAGTTTTCAAATCTTGTTCAGATTCTCAATTGTGTTTTAAATTGAACCTAATTGAGGTCCAGTTTAAAACATAATTTTTAAACTGGAGGCATTCTAATTCAGCAACATAACCCTGGATGTAAGTTTTGGGCTATTGTTTTGCTGGTGGGTGAACCTCTGGGGTTTGTGGTTTTACCTTCCCAAGGTTTGAGCAATTCCTGTTTCAGCACAGTTTGATAAAAGGAACTGATAGTTGGCATGTTGCAGGAGAACTTGATATCATGCTGACGAGATAATTAAGCCATTGCTTAATTCAAGACCAGAAGAATAATACATTTCTTGCTCTGATTCCCAATCCAACCTTTTTTAGTTTTGCAGCTCTTTTAGTTTGAACTGCTTCTTTTTTTACTTGCACTTGGTTAATTTAAAATCTGATGCAACTCAGATGGGACACTGTTTGTAAAAATCCTGAAAATAACATGACAACTTATGAAAAATCTTTAACGTGTGTGTGTGTGTGT